AATTTATTTCTCTGCTTAACAAGATAAGATATGCTGATGAAATAGTGTTGATAGAATGCACAAAAAAGAAACTACAACAGATGGCAGTCAAAGAAGGCAAGAAGAAAGGACTAAACATCAATTGCAAAAAAGACAATATACGAATGGTAGAGAAATGTGCCTTCAAGAAACAAAAAAATATTCGTTAGTAACAAAAAGAGTACTTAACTGTTATAGGTTCACCTATATGACAGTGAATACTAGACAAACTCAACACAGATGAAACGCGAAGCAACGAAAATGTGGTTCTACAGAAGGATACTGAGAATGCCATGGAACGAATATGTGTGCAATGACGTAGTTTTACAGAAAAAAGAAACAAAAAAGACCCTTATGCGTAACATCAGGCAAAGACAGTTGCAATTTTTAGGGTAAATAATGAGGAAAGAGGGCTTGGAAAATCTGATACTCACAGGACAGACTGAAGTCAAGAGGGACAGAGGAAAAAAAACGCATAACCTACCTAGCGAGCTTGAGTAAATGGATGATGGAATAAAATTTAGGACTAAAAACGACAGGATATTGTGGAGAGCCATGATCGCCAACGTCCGGAAAGGACACAGCACATAGAGGATGAAGAAAGGCTTACTCACGCCACCCACCAAAACGAGAAAAAAGGGGATAAAAATGTAGAATTATGAACTCAGGCGAAATACCCGAACTTTCAACGAAAAAAAGTCATACAAAAACAGATGGATAGACAGCTAAGAACATATTATAGTTTTAAGCCATTCTATGTTTATTGGTTAACGTGCTCACTGTCAGAGATAGAGCTTATGCAAACACTGACAATATCATATTGAGACACTGTAATCCTCATCTTTTTCGCTATATTTATTACAACGTTTGGGCTGCTGTACACTCCGGCCTACTTCAGGTGGTTGGAATGTCGAACTGAATCCTTTATTTCAATACCCAGTTAAGGCAGTGAAGAACTTTCAGAGAGAAATTACCAGGATATAATTGATAACTGACATCCATTAAACATGGCACGTGGAACTAGAACAGTCTACCCCAGTGAGCGAAATAAATGGTTCAGTTCGACATTCTAACCACCTGAAGAAGGCCGGAGCGTACAACAGCCGAAACGTTGTAATAAATATGGCAACAAAGATGAGGACAATAGTTAGAATACTGTAAATAAGTAATTTTTTTATTTGTGTATGAACTATTGAAAGTTAGTTGGGTTCCTTTAATTGTTCTTTTTATCAGCAGAAGCCAAGATAGCGGAATCGGAAAACAAGGTCAGTGATGAAAACTTGGGATTCCATAATTTCAGAATTTCGGGCCCAGAATGTTTTTAATTTGCTCACGGAGTCGGCCTGATTCCAAAATAGTATTACATATTGGGCTACGGCCTCTAGGAGTAAAGGTATAAAATTGTGACACAGTGACAGACTGATATTCACGTTTTTTATATAGATGCTAGCAGCATGGCCCGGCGTTGCCCGTGCTTGATTCAAAAATCGTACGACATACAGCAAACGCTATCACTTGACTTAAAATATTTTTGCCCTTCCTTGCATTTAAAGGCGTGCCCTTTGACGTGCTGATGTTGCTACATGCCTTACTTCTTGCCTAACTCACACTGCGAATTTTTTCTAAGCTCTGTACTAAACATTAAATCTGTTACGAAAAAAGAACTAAACAAAATGAACACAAAACGATAAGCTTCAAAAAAGGACTCGTAACTGGAAAAACCGAATGACAAAAGAATGTTAACAACAAATACTTTTTCACATCCAACCCAATTCTGCGGAATCAGAATCAACGTTGAGTTTAAGCAAGCGAATGAGCCAATTGGAGTAAAGTGCCATGCAGATTTAAATTTTTCCCACTTGTGACGAATGCAGCTATCGATATAGCTGGCCAATAGAATCGTCCTGCCTATTCGTAGCAGCCAGCTATAGGCTCTCACTCTGGCCAATAGAAAATGACCGAAAACTACATGAAAACTGCCGTAGATGCATGAAAAAATCGATAATTTCCACTATCGATGAGTTGGGAAATGCAAGGTCAGTCTTGGCCTTCCTACTAACTTGGAGCATGTGCATGTAAATTTTGGTGCAAATCCGTCGAAAATTGCGGCCGTGCATTCGTTACACACTCACACACATCCTGCCTTTTATATATAGAGATACTTTGAAGTAAGATAATGAGAAGTAAGCTTATCATTATCTTGTGAGTGAATGCGTTTTAGATAGATCTGAATACAGTAATATAAACAGGCTGTAAGAATAACGAACAGGCTGATATCGATATCTATATTGATCTTTCTCTCTTTCAATCTCTCTGTATATATATATATATATATATATATATATATATATATATATATATATATATATATAGAGAGAGAGAGAGAGAGAGAGAGAGAGAGAGAGATACATAGATAGATAGATAGATAGATAGATAAACCATTTGTTTACTTTTATCAACTTAAACCTTGTGCCAGAAGAGCTGTAATTCAACGCACACCAACACGTAGGTATTCGTATATGTACTGATTATATATATATATATATATATATATATATATATATATATATACACTTGGGAAAGGTATGAATCCTCTTCTTCTCCCTCCAGCTATGGGTAATATAGCAGGACAGACTGGGTTCTATAGCCTTGGATGGCAACTGGTCTAGGAGAAGGACAACTCTGAATTCAAAACCTGCGGAGGGTCGTTTGGGGACATTGAGGCACTTAGTGCACTAGGTCTCTGTATTCGGCCCTTCAAAAAGTGTGGATGGTCCTGCACGAAACCTTCACCACTAGAATCAAATCTCATGTGCCGGTTTCGGGCTATCGGTTTCCTGGAAACTGATCTGCTTGATCCTCATACGTCGAACTCGACGGGAGAGTTGAGTATATATATATATATATATATATATATATATATAAACGGGAGAGGTTATAGTTGTTTCAACGAGAGAAAAGTGTATATTTTAAAGAGAAGTGAGTTGTCGCAAACATTTTAGGTTACAATGTGGATTTTTTAAATATATATTATACTTATTTTCCATATTATTGCTAGACGTGTTCCCTGTTTGGTGTCTTTTATCAGGCAAAGAGTGGTTATTTCCCCATATTATTAAAAGGAATTAATTGTCTTTATGTTTTTTGATGTTTAATATATATAAAAAAAAAATATTACAGATTAAAACCTTTATGGTTTGTCTCTATATATATATATATATATATATATATATATATATATATATATATATATATATATATATATATATATGTATATCGATAAATAGATAGAGATTGAAAATATTTACATTTACAGACGAATGCAGTCTTATATCTGAAGAAAATGACGGATGGGCATACCGATAGACCCATGAACATTTTAGCAATGCACTTACAAAATAAACTGTAACGGTATTCAGAGAGTGGTATTTCGCTTGGCATTAAAGCAGCTCTTTGCCTATTATAGTTATGAAGTTTTGTTTTAATGGATCTATACAAAAGCTGAGTTACTTTTGATTTCTTTCATTTTCCTTCAATCCAACAGTGTCGACAAGGCTTTTTAGACGACGCCGTCTTTTCCAGTACAATGGCCGGACCAACGGAAAGCATTTATGGAATTCTTTTTTAAAGTCTTGCCTTTAGTGTTACTCCTACGCGAACAATGGCACATCGACAAAAGCGGTTTGTTCTTAGATGAGGAATGGTTAATGCCTAATCCTTGAGTATTATTTAGTTAAAAGCAGGATTTTGTAAAAAGAATTTTTATGTCGTTCTGAAGAAATTCTTGTTGATATTTGAAGCTGCTTTTTTTAAAACGATAAGCTGTCTGAGATTAAATGTTAATCTGACGTTAATGCTACTTTGTTATATAAATTGTTTACTGCAATACAAATAAGGAAAAATAATGCAAGTAAATACATTTCTTTTAATTAGTTAATTAAACGAATTGTTTGAAAATTTCTTATGTCTTCAAGTAATGGCTGGGTTGAAGATCACTACGGGAATTAACAAATATTATTATTTACACGATTTACATTGTGAGGACTTTTGTCTTTATCTTTGTTGTTATATTCACGACGTTTCGGCCATTGTACGCTCCGTTCTTCTTCAGGTGATTGGAATTTCGAACTAAGCCCTTTATTTCGTCCGCCGGGGTAGATTGTTCTCGTTCCACGTTTCATAAAGGGTTCGGTTCGAAATTCCAATCAGCTGAAGAAGGCCGGAGCGTACAACGGCCGAAATATCGTGAGTATGACAACAAAGATAAAGACAATAGTCGAAACAATGTAAACAGCGTAAACAGTTAGAATAACTCATCTCAGAAACATAGGTAGAAATTTTGTTATAACCAGGGCATGACACGGTCTAAAATCTAAAGAGAGAGGAGGGAGGGATAAAAATATATACAGAGATGGCGTGTAGAAATGTAAAAAGAGGAAACAGAGAGGAGAACAGAGAGATAAAGAAAGAGGTAGAGAGCTAGTGACAGAGAGAAAGCGAAGAGCGAAAGAGAGAGAAAGAAAGAGTGAGGTGGAGAGCAAAAGATAGATTGAGAGATAGAGAGAGAGAGAGAGAGAGAGAGAGAGGGTAATAGTCAATGTGAAAAAGAGAAAAAGTGAGGAGAGAAAAGAGCGAACACGAGAATGCGAAATAAAGAAAAGAAGAGAATAATAAGAATGAGAAAGGAGAGGAGAGAGATAAAGAGAGAGCGAGAGAAAGAGAGAGATAGAGAAAAAAGAGTGAGTGGAAGACAAATGACAGAGAAGAAAAGACAGATAGATAGATAGATAGATAGATAGATAGGGAGAGAGAAAAAGAGAGAGAGGTTAGGTAATAGGAAATGTGGACAAGAGTAAAAGAGAAGCGAGGAGAGAAAAAGCCTAAAAGAAAATGTGAAGGAAAGAAAAGAAAATGAGGTAAGAAAGAGAAAAAGAGAGAAGGTTTGGAAGACAAATGAAGGGAGAGAATGGAAGGGAGATTGATTAAGATAAAGAGAGAGAGAGAGAGAGAGAGAGGAGAGACAAGGAAGAGAAAAATGGAAACGATAAGCGTGAGACAGATAAAATAGAAAGAAGTAGAGACAAAGAAGATATCGAAGGAAGAAAGAAAGAATTTTTGTAAGAGAGTTGAAAGAAAGACATTAGTAAGAGTGGTTTTAAATGATTATAAAGGGTGAGAAAAAAAGAGATATACAAAAAGAGAATTGGTAACTGGGAAAGAGACTAGAAGAATAGTGATTATTAGTGCAGTGTACAGATAAGAAGACTAATCTGAAGGAACCAATAACCAATACTGAGTGAATATCAATACGACAGTTGAACTAGCTAGGTGCAACCGTGTGTTTTATTCTAACAGTTTCTATGCTAAGAACATCATGGATAGAACATGTGAGCAATGAGGAAGTTTTGAGGAAAATGGTAACAGAAAGGATACTTCTACTTAGAATCAGAATAAGACACTTGTAATTTTGGGGCCCCGGTAAGGAAAGCGGGTCTGAAGAATTTGACACTGACAGGGCATATTGAAGTTAAGCAGGACAGGGATAAAACTCCGCTAATCCACCTAAGAAATATGTGTAAATGGATGGCAGGAACGAAACCGGGAAGGGCTTTTTTAGGGACAAATATTGCTAAAAAGAAAATACAAAGGATAATGGAGATTGTGGAGGGCCAAGAATGGACACGGTACATATAAGAAGATAATGACAGTATTGAGGCTCTGTCTATATTTCTGAGATGCGGTATTATGTACATTATTCACATTATTCGGACTATTGTCCTCATCTTTGTCGCCATATTTATCACAACGTTTCGGCCGTTGTACGCTCCGGCCATCTTCAGGTGGTTGGAATTTCGAACTGAAAGAGAAAGGAGAACAGGGAGATAAAGAAAGAGGTAGAGAGCTAGTGACAGAGAGAAAGCGGAGAGTGAAAGAGAGAGAGAGAGAGAAAGAAAGAGCGAGGACACATGGCACAGTGGATAAAGGCGTTGGTTAGATCCAGTGACAGGACACAGAGAGTGTGAGTTCAATACCCGGTTAAGGCAGTGGAGAACTTTCAGAGGGAAAATTAGCAGGAGATAACTGATAACTGACATCCATCAAACATAGCACGTGGAACTAGAACAGTCTATCCCAGTGAGCGAAATAAAGGGTTCAGTTCGAAATTCCAACCCCCTGAAGAAGGCCGGAGCGTACAACGGCTGAAACGTTGTGATAAATATAGCGACAAAAATGAGGTCAATAGTCCGAATAATGTAAATAAAGTATTGAGGCTGTTTTGAAAAAAATAAATCGACCGACTGAATTTTGATTTTACATTATTTACTTTTTCTAGCTAATACGGACACTTGGTTGTTGGGACACAATCTGGGATGGATAGCAAGGGACTAATATTGCTAAAAGCTACAAAGGATAGGAAGTTGTGGGGAGCCATGTCCGCCAAAGGTCTTAATGAAAACTGTAAGAATTTCTATAGCTTATTGGTTGCTTATTTCAAGGCGGTTATCATCAGTTCTACAATAATGCAATGTACTTAAGAAGTCTTCTTTACAAGAATCCCTATCAGAGGTTTAACATCGCACATGTAAAAAAGGAAAATAAATAAAAAGACTACATATATCGGATATCAGTGAGCAACTGAAAAATATGATGGGTTCCCTGCCATTTATATTATTAAGTGTTCTCTAGGAAAAGGTATATTTGATAAAATGCACTAAAAATATACAAAATACATAAATGCGAATTTGTCGATGGAAGGTTATGCCATTTTCCTTCCATCCTTTTTATTTGTATATGCTTCCAAAATTACTCTCCAGCTAAAACTTTTCTTCTATTCGTTTCACTCTCCTCTCGTCAGTTCAATTCTAACTTTGTATTTTTCTGGCAGCTTTAAAGTGGTTCGACATAGGGTAGAAAAGAGAAGGATGTGAAAAATCCCTCTAATACGCTTCCTCCAAATGAGAAACTGTTCAAAGGAGACGTTTGACAGTGGCAACGAATGTAGACTACATCTGGAAGCACTTAAAAGGCATATTGGTATCTCAAACTACTGTTCATCATAGGATACAAGAAGGAAAAAACAAACAACACTCGCTTATTCTAATAATCATTTTCAGAACAGCTCTGCTATGTTTCGTAACTTGTCAATATCCGTTCAAACATTGTACTGTAGAGGTTACAACCATAACCCGTTGAAACAACGGTTCTCGTAGGATCACTGAAGTTAAACAACGTCTACGCTGGTCCGTACCTCGCTGGGTGACCACTTGGGAATACCAGTTGCTGTAAATGTTCGAGTGCTGTAATGGATAACAACCACATCACATTGAAATATCGTACAATTAACGAAGTTAAACAACGTCGAACCGAGCCTAGATAAGTGACTGCTTGGGAATACCACCTTGGATGGGCGGGTGGTGTAATGAATAAGGTTCGGAATCGGAGGGCAGAGTTGTTATTCATAATGACGATCGTCTTTGAGTATAGAATCCAGAGGTTAGCAGTGAATATTTCGAAGACAGTAGGGAAGCGTTGTTCAGGTTAGCAGTGGATATTTTGGTAAAAGTAGCAGAGCGTAGTTCGTCCTTCTGTTGCTCTTCGCCTGACAAGCTGGACTGGATATTCGGGTAGAGTGAACAAAATGGCCGCCTTTATACACGACGGATTGAACGTTCTACGTCTTCTGATTGGTTAACCTTCTATTGGTGGACTATAAAGGGAGTGAAGTCATTTGAGCTAACTACCCTAGTTATATATACACAAAAAACTGTAACAAGAGTTCCAATTCCAATCGGGTTCGTTATATTCATTTACGAGCAAATACCCTTGCGAAAGGTATGAATCCACCTCTTCTCCCCCAGCTATGGGTTAATTATGATGCCCTACACCAAATGCTTACAAGTTAAAAATATTTTATGGTTTTTTAAATACCCTACAAAGGGTTGATAAACCGTAAAAAACAAACGAATCGATTAATAAAAAAAATCATCAAATTTCTACCTCCCTGTCAATAACAAGTTTAGCTTCGTCCCTAACAGGTCTTGACTAAGTAAGACTCATATTAGAACACTATCAGTATGGAATGTTAAATAGGAAAACGTTTGGAAGTTTAACGCCTGTAAATGTTGAATTTCACTACTTGTATTACTTTAGGTGCTACAATCTTAAATAAAATGGGATAACTTGTCTACTGATCACAAGAAAATCAATTCAAAGTTTAGTATTTCTGGGCTTCCATTGTAGACTATCAATATTTGATTGGTGCATGTACTGCTTTTTCTTTTACAATCAAGTCATGAACCGATCCCCCAATTTTCTCCATGCATGATTCCATATATTTCTCTACTCTAGAAAATATAGTTATAGAGAAAGTTGCCAGATTCGTCTACTTTAAAAAAAATCAGCGCTACTAAAATGTAATTTTTGTTACTTGCAACAATTTTGGCGTTATTTAAAAAAAAAGAAAGAGCTAACCTGGGCTACTAATGATAAGAGAGGCAATCCAAAATTTAGAATCGTTAGGCTTTCATATGTATCGCAGTTCGCTACTGACAGTCCAAACGGCACTATTTAAATTGAATAGTACTCGACTCTTATAAAATAGAGAAAATGAGCGGGGTTTATAAAAAATGTCTTTTAAATAAAGAACAAATGGATATATGCATTTGTATTTGTTATGATGTTAATTTGGGGTTAATAAAGACAAACGCCAAATAACATGTAACAATAAAATGGGGTTTGTAAGTTGGTACAGATATCGCCTGAGTAGTCTATAATTAACTCAGCTCAGAACTTCTTCGACACTGTCTTTTTACATGCCACTATTTTACGTCCTTGTTTGTAGACGAGTTCATCTTCAAGAGGGGTGGTAGGTTCCCACACAACAGTATTTAAAAAGCAAAAACTTACATAAATTAATAAAACTATGAATGCGTTTATTCTTCATTTAACATAAATAATTATGAACACAAAATATTTGTGTATTAGGGGAAATCCATTTTGGAACTCAACTTGAAGGACTTTGAAATGATAAATAATGATACTATATATATATATGTATATTTAAAAAAATCGCTATACTTTTTTGAGGAGATGTGTTTAAATATTAAGTTTAGGTTCAAAATCTTAGCGTTAGAATTTAATTCCAGTGATCACTCGAAGCCTTATAACGCAGCCTTATAAAATTCATAATTTAATGAAGCTTCAGAAATTTTATAGGGGGAAGATGCATAAGAGAAACACTATTACGAAATCATTGTGACATCAAATATAACCTTCATTTACTTCAAATAGAGATTATATTGAATTTAACGATATTATGATGTCATCCCTTAAGTTCTGTTCGAATTTTAACTTTTTGTTAAAATGAACGAAATTTAAAGACTATTTTATTATGTCTAATGGAGCTGAACATTATTTTTATGCTTAGATGCATTTAAACTGATCAAATTTTATTTCAGAGAAGATTAAAATTAAATTTTGTTTGATTAAAACCCTGCTAACATCGAAGTACCCAAGAATCATTTGAGGCACATAATGCTTTATGAGTTCAAGAAAGAAAACTCAGCAGCCGAAGCGGCTAGAAACATTCACTCAGTTTATGGAGAGGAATGTGTGAATGAAAGAACATGCAGAAGATGGTTTGAAAAAATTCAGAGGTGGAGATTTCACCTTTGAAGATGAAGATCGAACCGGACGTCCAGTTGAGTTTGATGAAAAGCTTCTTGAAGCAGCCCTTGAAGAAAATCCTGCTTTATCAGTTGAGGAATTGGCAGTGGTTCTCAGTTCAAACTATACAACTGTTCATCGTCATCTTCAACAACTTGGAAAAGTTCCTAAACTTGGAAAATGGGTGCCTCATGAATTGTCTGAAAGCAACCTCAAATCCCGAGTTGACATCTGCTCTTCTCTCCATTCTCGCCAAATTGTTTCACCTTTTTTTGGATAGACTTGTGACTGGCGACGAAAAATGGATCTTTTATCGAAATATTAAGCGTCGTAGACAGTGGCTTGGTAAAGGGGAAGGACCCCAGCCACAGCCGAGAAGGGAACTTCATGGGCAAAAGGTTCTTCTTTCAATCTGGTGGGATCGCCAAGGAATAATCCACTTTGAATTCTTACCACCTAATGCAACAATTAATGCTCACATATAATGTCAGCAATTAGAGCGTTTGAACCAAGCTTTGAGGGAAAAAAAGACCTGCTCTAGTGAATCGAAAAGAGGTGATGTTTCATCAGGACAATCACGTCATAAAAGATCGAAGAACTTGGTTGGGAGAAAATTCCTCATCCAACTTATTCTCCCGATCTTGCTCTTTCAGACTACCATTTGTTTCGTAGCTTACAGAATCATTTGGAAGAAAGAGCTTTTGTAACACAAGAAGAGGTTAAAAGTGACATTTGTGAGTTCTTCGAATCAAAGCCAAAAGAATTTTACAGTAATGGAATTAGTAATATAAGGAAGTCAAAGATAATCAGGGAAAATACATTGTTGATTGAATCTGTAATTAAATGTAACATTTGGTCACTTGTTTTCTTTGTTCAAAATTCGGACAGAACTTATGGGATGACCTGATATTATATAGTGCAATAGTTTTAGTGTGATTTTCAATAAACGATGTAAATTTAAACATTTTGTCTTATAATTTATGTCCAGCAGTATTATGGTGTTATATACACTTTTATCTATTTTTGTTTTTATTAATTATGATCTAATAAATGATCTAACAAATCTTATTAATTAATCTTTAGAATTGTTTTTACAGTTTTTTACTTTTCGAATACAGTAAGAAAATTACATATTTTGCTTGTGGTGATTCATAATTAGAATTCTGGTTTGAACATATCTTTCATTCAACGTATCTAATACAAAAATATCAATTTTATTCGAATTTATTCTTGATAGAGTAACATTTTGAAGTCTGTAAGCAAAAAACTGCGGAAATTAGGTACATTTTTTTCAGAAGATCTTTAAACTTAAATGATCAAAGATTGGTAAAAGTTATTAATCTAATGGTTAATGTCGGTACTTATCACAACAAACTCTTAAGTTCTCACTGAGTGTAATGTTGATTTTCTAAAAATAAGTGAAAAAACAACCTGCCCTATTATGCATGCGCTTCTGATTTAAATGCAATGAATAATAATAAATTAATTAAAAAAATGAAAAGGTAAAAAAAATTAGAAAATTCAAAAAACACCCAAAAAACAGCAGATATCAATGATGTTACCACACTTTTAAACTTAATATTTGCAAATAATAACTGAGAGAAATTCGTCTGTAAAAGTCAGGGATCAATATTACATATCAGTATTATGAATAGGAACCCTATTGTAATGTGATAAAAAAATAAATATTTTCGATTTTGATAAGTGTTGTGGACTAAGGAAGGAAGGTCAAAAAACATGTTAATGTACAAACCTTATTTCCAATACAAAGTTTCCATATTTTTTACAAGTGGACCCATCAATTTAAGTACTTCCCTTTAATCTATTAATGATGGTTGTAAATCGTCAATATTTGGTTAACAAGTATGTATATAAAACGGGGGATCACTTTAACTTTAGCATATGTTACAATTTGCTCCTCCACTTCTCGCCATAGGAGATTTCATATCTCTTTACTCTAGGAAACATACTTGCAGACAAACTTGCCTGATTTGGAAAGCGCTGTGGCATTGTGTTCATTTTTGAATATTAAAAGAGGGAGCACTTTTTTTTTTTTTGCTACAAGTCATAAAATGATCCCCCACTTTACGCCAGGGTAGATTCCACATGTTTCTTTAGTCTAGAAAATATACTTGGAGGCAAATTTACCAGATTCTTTACTTTTGAAAGCCAGAGCTACTAAAATTTGATTTTCGTTGTTTGTAACTTTTCGATTACGTTTTTAAAATAAACTAGATTGACTGGAACTAATAGTGGGGATAATGAAAATTCAAAATTTAGAAGCGTTGAGTCTCAGCTATGGGCAAATAGTTAACCCCAAACTTGGATTCAAACACTATAAAAGTATAAAAATAGGTTTTAATACCAGAAATACTTCGTAAAAAAAATTATTACCAGCAATATAATTTTGTGAAAAAAAAATTACCAGCAATATATTTAAAAATAAAAAATTACCAGAAATAGATTTTTGAAGGTAAAACATTACCAGCGAAGAAAAATTCTTACCAGAAATGGATTTTTTTAAGTAAAAATATTGCCAGAAATAGATTTTTGAAGGAAAAAATATTACCAGCGAAGAAAATGTATTACTAGAAATGGATTTTTTAAGGTAAAAATATTT